TTCATTGATGATAGACTGAGAATAGACTCAATATAGTTTGTGAAGCTTGGTCAAATTTTGGTACGGAAGGGTCAAAACGGGAAGGAAATTGTCAGCAATTTGAATTTGAAATGTGCTACTAGTGGAAAATGCTCATGATGAAGACAGTACATTCTACCAACGTTTCCATAGTTAAGGAGTTCAAAATTAAGGCGCGACGATCTACCGACTGCCTATCCATTGAGTATTCCGGACATATTTACGGGAAGATAATGCCACAAGAAACTCTGCATAGCGCTAAAGTCAATCGCAGCTGAGCGACGTTCAATTTTTTTTTTTTATAACTGAGAGATTACTGGTGGCCCGCATGCCTTTCCAGTTTCACCAGGACAGGTGGGCGAGCAAAGGCTCAGTCAGGAAGGGTAGGATTTGCTAACAGCTGCCCGAGCGCCTCCGAAGGAAACCTAACAACTCAAGAGCAATTCCTTCGCGATCGACGTTCAACTCTAGCGTATGTGGACGCTGTCTTAAGCGCTGTGACGAAAGTAGCAAACAAAAATAAAAATAAAACAGATTTAGTGATAAGATTATAGATAGAAACCACAACCTGAACTCCTGAGGTTATCGACTAGGGAGAAGACGTATCTACCATATTTATTACAAAGAATTTAGGCACTGAACATGATCTAAGTGATTATGATCATAGTCTACCGTACGGAACTCGTCATTTAAGTTTGGAATACTTACGTGAAAATTTCGTAACAGAGCCAGTTACAAAACGGTTTCAGGTTTTGGAATGAGATAAATTTAGGGCGCGCGCTTGTGGGTTTTCAAATGAATTTTTCGGGACTGTTTTCTGTTGGACTTACAAAAGTGGCACGGAAAAGGAGCCTTCAATTATAAAGGGCGAGTTTTTAATGGTTTTCCGACTGCTGATGTGTTTTTTAAACGTCAATTTAAGCTTTTACAAGGGATCACGTGTATAAATTGCGTTTGGTTATTCAAGTCTGAACTGAATTGGCATTAAACAATAATTGACAGTTTGTATTGTTAACAATTATCTTTACATTTAAAGTATCAATTTAAAAACGTACAATTCTTAATGCTTAAATGACCAAACGGGCTGATTATGAACCGAAATGTTTTGTATCCTCCCACCACAGAGGGCATAATGTGGAAGTTTCAAGTGGCCCTCTAGTTGCATTAGTCTTACCTAAATTATTATACATGGTTACTGAAATAAGTTATTACGTGTTTTGTTTATATAAGGAAATCAGAGGGCCTACTTTGTTTGATAGTACATATGTTTCAATAATTATTAAGTTGACGAGTATGATGATAAGTTCATCATTTTTTTTTATATTTTTTTTATTGCCTAGATGTGTAGACGATCTCATCGCCCACTTGGTGTTAAGTGGTTACTGGAGCCCATAGACATCTACAACGTAAATGCGCCACACACCTTGAGATATAAGTTCTAAGGTCTCAAGTATAGTTACAACGGCTGCCCCACCCTTCGAACCGAAACGCATTACTGCTTCACGGCAGAAATAGGCGGGGTGGTGGTACCTACCCGTGCGGACTCACAAAAGGTCCTACCACCAGTAAAAACGCCAGTCAAAATCAAAATTCTATGGTAGGTAATATTTTTGACTAAGTAAATACGTACTTAACACATGCTCTCGAACAACATCCATGATTATGTAATAGGTATAGATGCGTAAGTAATATAGAACACACAGTCATTAAAATTTTCTGGTGGTAGGAAACAGAATTAATTTGCTACTTTAGTACTGATAAATGCATTTGTAAAATGAAATTGGCGTTAATTCAACTTACAAAGTCTTTATGGAAATAGTAGGAACTATGTATCATAAGCTTTGTCGTAATGGTGACCTATCAAGAATAAGAATTTACGTCGAAGTGTCTAGAAGCCATAGGACTTCGTACCACTCATTAGAAAGAAGCGAATGAATTCAATTTATGTTTATATAAACTTTCAGTCTATACACGTAGAATTAAAAAGAACATTTAAAATACCATCCGTGTATAATATTTGGCACATTTTAAAAAGGTTCTCGCTTAGGCCGCTGATAAAATTAAATCAAAATCATATTTTCGATCGGTTGTACATGTTTAAAAAACAAACCCGTTTCGTTATAAAAAGTTTTCAGGTAGCTACGTACGTTTTGTTTGTTTGTAACAAAATGCTCCGACCGTGTATACATACCTCGAGGGCTACATGTAAAATTCATGAATCGCTCCCACTGTGCGAATGTTATCGCTAGTCCGCGCCGCTAACTGTATCTATATTGTGTTTTGTTTTGAGTATACCTACAGTGAATTTTCGAACGCGAAATGTTATTTTCCGATCGAGTTTCAGCGGTAAGACCGAAAAGTGGACTAGAAACATGGTAGACACTTTTTTTACTGATGGTAGGACCTCTTGTGAGTCCGTACGGGTAGGTACCAACACCCTGCTTATTTCAGCCGCGAAGCAGTAATGTGTTTCGGTTTGAAGGGTGGGGTAGCCGTTGTAACTATACTTCAGACCTTAGGACTTATATCTCGAGGTGGGTGGCGCATTTACGTTGTAGATGTTTATTTGCTCCAGTAACCACTTAACACCAGGTGGGCTGTGAGCTCGTCCATCCATCTAAGCAATAAAAAAATAATTAAAATTTCAACTCTGTGTCCCAAGTGCTGTCATCAATTAACATCAAGCTTACCACATGCTCGTCCAGCTCAAAAAGGATATTGTTCTTTGAAATCAATTTTGTATTTTCTTGGGTTAGTAACGGTCCATAATGAAACAACAATTAGATTCAAGTCGTGTATTCTCTGAAACACTTACATATAATTCATTTAATTTAATTAACACAGGCATTAAAACAACAGCTCTCTGACTAGAATTCATTCGTTTGTTTATCTTATATCATACATTCATATCGTTTAGATTTATACATATAGTTAAATAATATATTTAAGCGCTTTGTAGAGAAACTCTTGCCTTCAACGAAACGAAAATATTTCTAGACTTGTACACTTGGCGTGAAAAGGTCGAGTCTATAGACAAAATAGCATTATTAATTTCGCGGTATTTGTATTATTATCCTTATAATTCAGGCAACTATTCATCCAGTTGGACTATTCCACTAAAATTTTCGAAACACATATAATATTTGGAAAATTTACAAAAAAAACCACAATAATCCTAACACAGAGAATTTAAAGACACTTATTTTTCGATATTTGTGAGATATTGTCCAATTTACATCTTAAAAAATAATCCACATCCATCCGTTTTATTAGAAATGTCCATTGTAAATTTACATTGACAAAATTTGTAATAAATAAATAAATATTTATTAACAATCACGCTACGTTAACTGGTCCCGTGATAAGTTCGTAAAGAACTTGTGTTACAGGTACCAGATAACGGAAATAAATGTAAGATTTTTATTATACACATACATATATTTAATATACATCCATAACCCTGGAAAAGACATTTATATATATCATACAAATATCTTCCCTTGGCGGAATTCGAACCCGCGACCCCCTTGTGTAGTGACCATGTCACTTACCACTACACCAGATGGCCGTTTAAGACTTTTAAAGTCCTCGTCTCAATTTAGCTAACAAAATGTCAACAAATGTATGTGAGTATACATATATTTTATATTATGTAAATAATTTTGATTAACGTTCTAAACAGTATTTATCTCATAAAATATATTATTTCTGGTACAGAAGTTTTACATAAATAATTATTAGAACAAATAAAGTTTTACTTCGAATACTTTTCGCCGTCATGTAACAAACACCTAAGGGGTTAACTGACGATATTTGAATAAAATCTGCAAATTATCGTTCGTACAGCAAAGTAGTTATAACTCCTAACCCATGCATCAGCCCGCTGAGTTTCTCGTCGGATCTTCTCAGCGGGTCGCGATTCCGATCCGGTAGTAGATTCATTCGCGAAGCAATTGCTCTTGAGTTGTTAGGTCTCCTTTGGAGGCGCTCGGGCAGTTGTTAGCGAATCCCACTCCTCCTAGCTGACATTTGCTCGCTCACCTGTCCTGGAGAAACTGGAAAGGCCTTCGGGCCACCAGTAACCTTTCAATAATAATAAAAAAATTACAACTCTGTGCACGTAATAAGTAACAAGCAGTCCCCTTAGTTTCTATTTCTCCAATTTCCTAAGTTCGATTACGTATTTGTCGGCGCACTAGATATATACCATATATATATTTTAAAAACATATTTACTATCTTAAATAAAGTTAAACAAACATTTATTTTACACTAAAAATCTAAAACCTATTTAACTAAAAGCGTTTATGACTAGACTATTTAATGATATTAAATGCGATTTCATAAATCTATGAATAGATTATGATATTTGATGCTTTGAAACTATTGAGGATAGTAATTCAAAATGTTATAGTAAAATAAAACCCGACTGCAGAAATACAACAATAAAATTAATTGTACTGTATTCTTCTGAAATAAATAGTTATCTTCCTTCTAGAATACTCGGAATATGAACAAAAACTTAACTGAAAATAGCAAATAAAATAATCAAAAGCATGCATTGGACGGTTGCAAAAAAATAATAATGAAAATACTTTATAATATTATAAGAATGTTTGAAGAATTCATTAACCACGATGATGCTTAGCATTCAATATTCATAATAATACTATATAAGTCGTTGAATAAACTTTTTCAAACATAACGTTTTCACTATATATTTTTTAAATACTATTTTCCTATTATAATATTATCCACATTATATGCTATTTACACACTGCTTACTAACATTATCAACAAATCACCACATAAATACTATATTCTCGCATTAAATACATATAATGTTTTGAATGTGAAAGCTTTGAATATAATTTTATTAAACTACAACAATGTGCATCACTTCATTGCGAGTCACACGTTAAATTCATAATAATTTTATTTAACACCTTAATTTTTATTAATGGTAGTTTAATTTATTTTTTCCGACACAACAAAGACTTTAGCAGAGCTCTCAAAATAATACATTAAAAATGAAGCTAGATTTTTTATAGGTCTATCGACAGTCAAGCAGTAAAATTAACGTAGAACATGTTTGAAGTTTTTTTTTTTTAATGCAGAATAAACTTTTACTACACTATAACATAACAATTTGAGAAATAATTAAATTATTCAATCTAAGCCTATGGAATATTTCGTAAATCTCTACGATACACTGAAGAAACAAGTACATGCTAACGATATGGAGGAACCCTGTTGGAGAACTCGTAACACCTACGTTACACTCAATATTCATAGGAAACTTCATATTTGGTCAACATTCAGAAAGGAAGGTCTAGTTGAGTATTACATAGAGCAACTTAATATAAACATTCACAAATAACAATGCTGATCCGTGGTCAAACCGCGCTTTCATTACTGTCTTAACACGCACTAAATTAAAGCACTACACAATTACCCGTTTTATAAAGCCTCTTGTTTCGTGTTGTTTTTATTGGGCCAGGAGAGAAGGAGCTGCTCGTCTGCCGATTGATCTGATTGCATGTTTTCAGAGATGACTGGAGAGTATGTTAAGCCACCGAGAAGAGCGCCACTGGACCGTGATTGTTGCCGACACAGCGGACGCCGAGTGGGAGACTCGCTCTCGTCGGACATAGCGCGAGTGACGGTGATACGTGGCGACTGACGTCTCCGTCGGTCTCTAGTCCCACCTTCTTCGAGGCCCAGAGCCCGACCGAGCACCACGTGCGGCGGCGCCCGAATTATCGGAATGGCACAAGTACGAGGTCTTGATATTTCTTCTTCTTGAGAATCTTGCAACATGTTACAGGAAGCGGCACGTTGCGCCGGACGCTCCGAACCCCGAGATCCCATCGCCGCGGCATCAGACAGCCTTCTTGTTGTCGGTGGACGTATACAGCCGGAGCCAGCTGATAGCGATGGTCTTCGAGATCCACACGCACTTGGGGTTCGGGCCTGAATTTCTTGGGTTACTTCACTTTTCGTCATCCGCTTTCGTCTGTAATTTCGAAGAGAATCGCGGAGAGCTCTGCTTCGAATACCGTACAAAATGCCGTTAACGGGAGGGGCAGCCGCCAGTAGGGTTGCCGATAGTGCGGCCAGCATTTGTGGCGGAGCAGACACAGCGGGCCATATTAAAATGCAATAATAAGGGAAATATAATATTGCCAGTGACCCGAGCGGTTGTAGCACAGCGGATAACGCTCGGTGACGTGGTGGCGGTGGAGGTGAGAATGGATTCCTTTGATGTGTAACCGTCACTTGCGCAGATATTGTGACTTCGTAAATTGCCGCAGCAATCCTGTGTCGATGGTAACGCGCTATACGAAGGATTTTCAAGCTGCACATAAGCACTAGAGTAACTGGTATCAGTAATGTCACCAATGCGTAAAGAAGACAGAAACCCAGGCCTGCTGGCCCAGCCCCGCAGTCTGGAGCGCAACTTCCTAATCCAGAACTATAGGTTAATGGTGGCTGAGCGGCAGCCAATGGAGCCAGTAGTGCTGCCGTTGCTACCCATCCACCTGCGACGCAAATCATCACCTACACAAAAAAAAACATAAAATTAGAACTGAAACCGACACGCTTTGTACACGACGACACGCCACAAATTGTAAATCTATACTAATATATAAATCTACAGTGGTTTTTACGGATGTTCCGTTATAACTACTGAACCATGCATCCGATTGACTTGAAACTTGGTATCCATGTAGAAAATACATTTACTTAATTGATAGGCTAATATTTATATAACTGTTGGACTCCATACATCAGTTGCGGGGGCGTTAATGATGAGAATATTTGTGGGGGTGAGAAATAATAATGTTAATTTTAAATGGCCAGCGAAGCGGACGGTTACAGCTAGTACGCTTATAATTGTGAACATTTGTACTTCAACCAAATTAAGTTTATTTTTGGTCAGAAGGTAATCGCTGGACTTCTTCCTACGCTTCATGGGCAGTAGACGGGGTACGGAACAACTAAGGTCCCCTGTCACTCAACAACCTTTGTCCTAGTCACTCGAGGCAGGCCGGAAGCAATGTGGCACGTAGCTCTTTGGGTGTGGGAACATACCATACGAGAATACGCTGTAGGCGACGCCATTCCAGTCGTTGTTTAATACATGAGCTTTTTTACAAACAATTCATTGCTTGTGTATTCCGTCTGTATGTTTAAAACGATAGAATATGTATATTTGACATCAAAGCGCACGCGAGACACGTACAAACACGCACACCGGTTGAAGAAATATTCTAGGCAAAGGGTCGGAACGCCAGTGATCATGCATTTTTAAATGCACGAGCCGGAGAAAGGTACTAATGATTTTTCACTCGCTTAACAAATCAGACGTGCGTAATTCTGGACAGCTTCGACATACAGTAATAAAACGTACTTTTTTACATCACTAACGAAGTGTAAGATGTAAAATCCACCATATATCAAATAAGAATCTATTTGATCATTCTGACCATTGATAAAACCTATTTCGAAAAAAGCGTTTTGATGTCGTCGTGGCCTAACGGATAAGACGTCCGGTGCATTCGTATTTAGCGATGCTACTACGGTTTTCGAATCCCGCAGGCAAGTACCAATTTTTCTAATGAAATACGTACTTAACAAATGTTCACGATTGATTCCCACGATGAAGGAACAACAACAGCGTGTAATAAAAATCAAACCCGCGTAAATATAATTTGCGTAATTACTGGTGGTAGGACTAGGTGGTAGGTCTTGTGAGTCCGCACGTGTGAGTTACCACCACCTTGCCTATTTCTGGCGTGCACTTTAAAAACTGAGACCTTAGCACTCATATTTCGAGATAGGTGGCGGCATTTATGTTGTAGATGGCTCCGGTAACCACTGAACATCAGGTGGGCCGTGAGCTCGTACACCCATCTAAGCAATAAAAAAAAAGCGTTGCGTTAGTTGAGTTACTTTGGTAATACTATGTGAAGTCGTCGTGGCCCAAAGGATAAGACGTCCGGTGCATTCATATCTAGTTATGCGCCGGTGTTCGAATCGCGCAGGCGGGTACCAATTTTTCTAATGAAATACGTACTTAACAAATTTTCACGATTGATTTCCACGGTGAAGGAATAACATCGTGTAATAAAAATCAAACCCGCAAAACTATAATTTGCGTAATTACTGGTGGTAGGACCACTCTTGTAGCAGTAATGCGTTTCGGTTTGAAGGGGGGGCAGCCGTTGTAACTATACTGAGACCTTAGAACTTATATCTCAAGGTGGGTGGCGCATTTACGTTGTAGATGTCTATGAGCTCCAGTAAACACTTAACACCAGGTGGGCTGTGAGCTCGTCCACTTTATCTAAGCAATAAAAAAAGTCTAAATTTTATAATGGATTTTTTAATACTTTACGCTAGCCCACCTTGAGATACGAGATCAATAACTCAACTGCTTTGTACGTATAGTGATGATTTATCGGTACCTTCTTAGCAGACACCATGGCGGCGTAGTGTAAAGGCGCAGCGATAGCGGCAGCTCGGTCAGCATGCAATCCGCACACAGTCCACAGCTGCAACGGATGGAGTGCGTGAAGCAAAGCACCGCACGCACACATCCCACTGCCTCCACACAGAGCCGCACCACTCGCAAGAGCTCCCACCGCACCGAGGTGGACAAGGAGCACCGAAGATGCGGACGCCGGCTGAAAAATTATAGTTTTATTGTAGATTTTTTTATTGTTTAGATGGATGGACGAGCTTACAGCCCACCTAGTGTTAAGTGGTTACTGGAGCCATAGACATCTACAACGTAAATGAGCCACCCATCTTGAGATATAAGTTCTAAGGGTCTCAATTATAGTTACAACGGCTGCCCCACCCTTCAAACCGAAACGCATTACTGCTTCACGGCAGAAATAGGCAGGGTGGTGGTACCTACCCGTGCGGACTCACAAGAGGTCCTACCACCAGTAATTACGCAAATTATAATTTTGCGGGTTTCATTTTTATTACACGATGTTATTCCTTCACCGTGGAAATCAATCGTGAACATTTGTTGAGTACGTATTTCATTAGAAAAATTGGTACTCGCCTGCGGGATTCGAACACAGGTGCATCGCTCAATACGAATGCACCGGACGTCTTATCCGTTAGGCCACGACGACTTCAAGACTCACAAGAGGTCCTACCACCAGTACTCAGAAGAGGTCCTACCACCATTCTGTTTAAATGTTCCACTAGTATTGCTCTTACAAGAACGACGGACAAAATCCTTAACGGTTTTTAATGAAACCGATGTGTGCCAATATTTCTCCCACTAACAAGTAATGTATATTATTAGTTTATTCATAAATTTGTTAACATGCCCGATTCCAGACCCTCGTCTTGTTCACGAATCCCTAAGGATAACGCACGACGTCACATTCGACTTAAGAAAATCAAAAATAATAGAGAAAGCCCAAGGCTTTGGTGATTAATACATATACCTTCTTCAAACTGACATTTTGGATAGACACCTTGAGCTTAGCTTGTTAATTAACAAGTTAACTTAAAGCTAGTTTCTGAAACTTGAAGAAAACAATAGGACCTATTGGAGTAACCTCCTTTTGTTCAAGAATTAATGAGGAAACCCGTTTCCCGTGATTCCCATTGAATCAATTTTACAAGCTCTTCTCAATGGATAAAGATGAAGTCTTTTGTCTATCCGTAGCATAGTACTCGGTTTTTTTTCTCTTAACATTGCCGTTGCAAATTTGAAGTATGAGAATCTGTGTTGAACTTTTTTTGATGATCAATATCAGTGAATCACAATAATATAATCATGATCAACCCACAGTTGTCTACTGCCAGACATAGGCATTACCCGATTTACGCCACTAGGACTGTCTTCGGCTACCTAAATCCTAAATCTCCTAATGTTTCCTATGTCACCTAAATCTAAATACTTATAAAATTTCTAACATTTTTAAATAAAATTCTCTCTCTCCAAATACAAAAATAAAAAATACGTTCGAAATTTCATTTGCCGAATGCAATCCTATCGGTCGTTTTCCGTCCTCCGGAGTCGATAACATTAATATTTAGGACTTGAGCTTAGTCGAAGAACTTTATTTTTACGATATCAAAAGCTCGCGAAAGGTATTACGCTACATGAAATATTAAAAGTCAGTATCTTTGCACGGGGGGACTGAAACCTCTGCAAAATTAATACGGGCCGAGTGAAAATAATAAAAGAAAACACACAGAATAAAGAATTAATCCAGCCTTTGTGCGGAAGTTTGTGAGGATACAAATTGCTACTGTATGAACGAGAATTTTTGTGTATCGAACTGTTCTGGATCATTCGATTGTGGTATCGTTGACTTTCATATTAAATTCTGTTTGTCGATGTTCATATTGTGTATGATTGGAACGGTTATTGGTTTGAAAATGCTAATTTTAATTGAAAACGTGAAATTCTGATGCAGCTACATGGGTGAAAAAAACAGGTTTTGTTACTTAAGCATGTGTGCGTAATCATCTATCATCTATATTACTAATCGTTAGTCTCGCTTAAAACTCGAGAACGGCTGGACCGATTTGGCTAATTTTGGTCTTGAATTATTTATGGATGTCCAGAGAAGGTGTAAAAGGTAGATAAATATAAAAATGCTCGGAATTAAATAAAAATAACAATTTTGTTTTTCCTTTGATTTGTCCCTCATTGCACGGATTCTTTTGTTTGTTTTAAGTTTATTTTATACAAAAGTTTAGGTATTTTATTTATCGATTGAGGCACTACGAAGTCTGCCGGGTCAGCTAGTGTCATAAAATCCTAGTATAAGCTTTAAATGAGCCGTCCTACTCATACTTAAATTAGAATGCACCTTATATAATACACATAAATGATTCATACATCCAACAGTACGAACTCGGATTGTTAACATTATATTATTAAAAAGAATAGAGCAGACGTCGACCGGAAATAGCGGCGGGCGCGGTTTCCGCGGTTTCCGGCGGCATTTAGCCCGCACGTACCACTTCCGATCGGAACTGCAACAAGTAGTCTAAGGAAAAGTTGTCGACTTCTCGCATGTTATATAATCCACTAACTCTATTGATATAGTTAATTATGATTCGTATTATAATTTTAAAACTTGCACTAAACAACATAGATTACATAAAATCGTCATCACTAATGTATTCTTGGAAATAATGATGCTTGTCTAAAACTATTAAAGTGTCTAAAGGCTCTGTGGCAGAAGTAGATAGAACGATGGTGCCTACCCGTGTCGGCCTACAATCCACCGAGAAATACGAAATAAAGGACTATGATTTTCATTTTGACTAGTCTAAAAATACCCATTTTTTTTTATTATACTCGCACACATTTTATATAACAACCTGAAGAGACGGTATCCGAATAATCCGAATTCAATATAATGTGATATCTTTGTGCAGTGATTCGCCTAATTGAATCTTTAATCGAGCATGTACTGTTTCTTGGATCGTGGAAATCCACGAAGTTACCATATAATGCTATTATTCAAGTGAGCAGAATAAAATTTCTACTACTACGGTACTATTCTCGGCTTGGAGAATAACTAATTTTTTTGTAAGAAAGACCTTTTTTTAATACGCTTTTATCAGCTTCATACGTATGTTAGTATGTAACGGAATCTTTCAACATGATTTTGACCCCCTTTGAAAACGTCGGATTAACTCGAAATTTGGCATACTTATTAAGGACCGATGACAATTCAATATTTTAAGCAGTTTGATCCGTTATCCTTACTAGAATTGCTAGGATTATCGATTTTTTGTTTTCCTGAGACCCGGAGTCTCTGTGTCAAGGCCAAGAAGGGAAACTACCAGGCGCGCCGATCACTTATTTCACGGATAAGTTACAGACTGACTCGGATGAAATTATTGAAAAATTGAAAAAAAATATTAAAAAAATTGAAATTTAACTAAAAAGTTTAAAATAAATAATAGTTTAAAAAACCAAAAAAACACACTTTTATAGAAAATCCAACTAAAAACAGAAAATAAATTTTAATAAATTTGAATTAAAAATAGTGTAAGAAAAAATCATTTTATTGAAAAAAAAACGTGTGGGGTATGTATGAATTGATTTATGTTAAATTATTTTACTTTGTTTAATTGTATAAGTTTCCTAATATTATTCGGTGAAATTTCATTACAAATAAAATGGAGACATATATCTATAGCTTATTGATTAATAACCAAAATTCTTGTGTATTATGCTTAATTATGGCCCGCCGCACCAACATATCTATTCTCAGGCAGTTAAAAATAGAAAAGATTCCACGTCTATCCACAACCTGCCTACAAAGAATATTGCGGTATTTTGGTCATGTTGCACGCAGGGATACCAGCAATTTGGAACGCCTTGTGGTGACCGGTAAAATAGAGGGAAAAAGGCCTAGAGGTAGAGGTCCCAAACGATGGTCGGACCAAATAGCGGAGGAACTGGGGATACCAGCGGGGGATGTCAGCGACGCACTCCACCGGGCTGCAGGGCGGGATCGATGGAGACAGCTGGTTGACGGAATCGGACAGAGTCATGATCCTCAGCAATGAGGGACCGATCGAAGAGAGAGAGAGATGCTTAAAGGCATTTTAGTCATTACGTAGTCGATATACATTTTTCGAGCTCAATTCTTGTCACGTTTTCCGTACAAATATGATTATGGGTATACAATAAAATGAAGAAAGTATTGGAAAATATTATTAAGAAACGTTTAGAAGTTTTTTTTGCTAGATTGGTGGACGAGCTCATAGCTCTCCTGGTGTTAAGTGGTCACTGGAGCCCATAGACATGTACAGCGTAAATGCCGCCACCCACCTTGAGATATGAGTTCTAAGGTCACAGTATAGTTTCATAGTAGAAGTTTTTTATTTATATCTGTTTTGAACACCAAATGTTGTGTTAAGAATTTGATAAACTTTGCTAAAAAAAACGCACACGTAATGTGTTTATTTCTTAAGGTAATTTTTAAACAAGTATCTATATATATATAGTATATTTCAAGTAATTTCAATGTATGGCTTTTAAAAGAACAGTGTGAGCACGACTCAAAATTCTATTTTCTTTAAGAACAAAATTGAAACTTTTATTGCATGTCTAAGAATGTGGAATCTTTCATCATTTTTTAAAGATTCAGTGTCTTCAGAGACGCTTAAAAGAAAAAGTGCCGAAAATATTTGTTTTTTTTTTTCATTTTTCAACATCAAATCTAATAGAAAATGCTTTCTATATTTCGGAACTTGGTTTAAATTACAGAAAACTCTAGTTGGCCCGTGAACTTGTTTAAAGTAAGTTCAAAGTCGACTATTTCGAGTTATTACGTAATAGCCCGTTTGGACATTTTAAATTTTAAATAATACATAGATCTTTACGTATGAAGTTGTCGTTTTACAGTACTGGCCATTTGTAACCTAATTTATGTATGTCTGGTATTAAGTTCTAAATTCAAATGAAATCTATTTTTAAAATATTTTCAAATTCAGACATTTGTTTGATAATTAGTGTTTTGTTTTCACTACATTTGTATATTTTTCTTCAATATGGACACGATAAAAATAAGATTGATTATGGAATAAGATTTTCGTCGCGATAGCAATGCTGCAAAACGAGCCCACAACATTTATAACGTCAGAAGCGAACAAACGAATGCATAACTCACTATTGAACGTTTCCGATATGAAAATTTTGACCTAAAAGAACTTCGTGGTGGTCCAAAAACTGAAGTCAACAACGACGACTTAAAGGTGAAAGTGGAAGCTAGCGAAACTCAATTTACCGCTGAGCTAGCAGCAGCTTTCAACGTTAGCATTAAAACAATATTGGTCCGTGTGTATCAAATTAGAAAACTATAAAACTAGATAAAGGCTTAATACTGAGACCTTAGAACTTATATCTCGAGGTGGGTGGCGCATTTACGTTGTAGATGTCTATGGGCTCCACTAACCACTTAACATCAGGTGGGCTGTGAGCTCGTCCACGCATAAAAGCAATAAAAAAAATATTAAAAAAATATTTGATTTTAAGAAATGAATTTTTTTTCTGGCCATCGATGGTGACATGGTTAGTGAAGGTGAGTGATTTCCACGATTGCGGACATGGTAACCGCTGATAATCCTTTTGTAAAAGAACGTGTCATTAGCGGTCAGGAAATAGTACCGTTGATAATCATTGCTAATAAACGCCAGGCAGTAATTATGACGCGACTGCCCGAAAAAAACAAACTGTTTAAACACCTTATTTCAGTGACACTAGCTATAGTTATAGTTCTTTTGAGGGGCACTAGAATTATTTATTTATTTATTTAATTAATATTCTTTTACTTATTCTTTAACTTATTACATGTTGAAATCTCTTCCAGTAGGCCCGCAAAAGGAAAGAAGAATTAGGGACACAAACCTAGTGCATACAGTAAACATTACATATAATAATATATACATATTACAAGATACAAAACAATATATATGTCGGCTCACGTCAGGGATGGCTGAGCGGTAGGTTCCGTCATCACTCGTATTCGATTGAACTCAGTTTAGTCAATAAAACTTTTCAATAATAATTATTGAAACTCAACACACAACTTTCACAATGACAGGGTAAACCGACAGTTTCGTTCCACATACCGACAGACCGACTGACTGACTGACTGACTGACTGACTGACTGACTGACTGACTGACTGACTGACTGTCAGACTTTTTTTTTTTATTGCCTTTGTAGGCAGACGGGCATACGGCCCACCTGATGGTGAGTGGTTACCGTCGCCCATGGACTTCAGCAATGCCAGGGGCAGAGCCAAGCCGCTGCCTACACTGACTACTACTACTCACTGACTGAGACGGACGGAATGCCACAACACTGTCCACGTACCGCCATTTTATACTGTGGCGTTACGGAGTCTACCCTACATTTTGTGATATTTATCAAAACAGCATTTCATCATTTAAAATAATAGTCAAAACAACGTCTTAATATTACTAAAAGTCGTTAATCACGACATATATATACATACAAAAACACACACACACACATTACATTTTACATTAATTAATTTTAATATTTAATTGAGATTAGCCTATTCACTTCATAACGATCTTTGATGTTTCTAGTTTTCGAATTTTGGACGGTCCGCGCTGTATGAAATAATAGAACATGGTATATGCTATACTAATTAAATACTACTCTATTGATTTTTCTCGAATAATAAATCTCTTTAGCTCGACAATTATTTTCAACAGACTGACATTTGCTGTCAAGCGTCTATTTCTGATCATTTTGAAAGAAGCTGTCAGAAATTGTGGAGTTATGTAAGAGTAAATTTTGCGTTACAGTCTCGTCATATGTGATGAATATATGTGATGAAAATCTCAGAGATTCGCTTCTATTTGGACAAATTATTTGTTCAGCACTTCTTGCTTAAGGTGTGCTTGAAACATTACTTGGTCGGTTAGGTAAAATGTCGGAGGCAAGTGAACAAGTTTACGATCGCAAGTGTAAATTTGCTTGCTTTCTGATTGAGATCTCAAAGGATTCGGTCGCAAGGAAGTAGTACTCTACTTTCAAATGGATTTTATGATAAATACGTAGTACCACAGTTTAATTTTAGATCGGAGATGCTTTGTCTTCAATGTTACGTTACATTTCTATTGTCTTTATTTATAGCATTCGAGTGTAAACTGTTTGATGTCTACTGGCAATGTTGATAATGTAAATTTAAATTTTCTGTTCGCATCGAAATTAGCTGTGGACGCTCCTCACTTATAGTTGTCGAAAATAAGGTAACAGGCAATGTAGATAATTCTGAATTTGTACTCAGAGTTAATGACAATGATATTGACAGATTATACTTTTTTTTTATTGCTTAGATGGGTGACGAGCTCACAGCCCACCTGGTGTTAAGTGGTTACTGGAGCCTATAGACATCTACGACGCAAATGCGCCACGCACCTTGAGATATAAGTTCTAAGGTCTCAAGTATAGTTACGACGGCTGCACCACCCTCCAAACCGAAACGAATTACTGCTTCACGGCATAAATAGTTGGGGTGGTGGTACCTACCCGCGCGGGCTCACAAGATGTCCTACCACCAATAAAAAGGACCTTGCATTGTATTTATAGCTAACAAGAATTCCGCACGATGTATGAAGGAAGTGGCCATCGTATGCGCACTAATAGACACAGTAATGATAAATGTAACAAAACTTCGATCGAAATGGCTATTTTGTGGGATGTTTTTTTTTTTTAATTCATGATTTCATAAGTATCGAAGCAGCAGATAATTGTTTTTAAATTATTTTTGGATAAGAATGGTGGGATGTAGAGTAACAACAAAAACAATTTTCTACACGTGTGTGGTAGTCAAACTTTAGTTAAAACGAGCATCGTCATTAAAATTACTTGCTCATTAAACTTTTAATGGAACTACGTTTCGCAGGTTCAAGCTTTAAAGTAATAAATGGGATCAAAATTATATAAGGATGTGTTGCATCTTCACCTGCTGCGGTTGGATGATTGATCTGTTCCAAAGGTATTTCTAATTTATTAAATAAGCATTCTTTTTGAAGTGATAACTTCTTAAAAATCGATGAACACCGGCTGCAGGCACGAAAAAGTGTCACGTTCCGCCTGAGCCTGAGCGTGCAAGAAGAAGCGCGTAGCAAGCGACAGAGAAGCACGATCGGCCCAAGCGTTAATTTGACGAAAAAATTGTAAATTTCAAATTAACTCCTTCTTTGTATTATAATACAAAATAATGATAATTCAATGGTAGTAATTCAATTCAAAAAAGTTTGCAATTTTTTGTCAATGTTTTTTTATTACATTATCAGACAACCATACAGACAACCAATTTTGTTCTTTCGTTTCAATGAAATACCCTTTTTTTCATTATACCTGTTTAGTTCTAACACAGAGTAACCCCTAATGTAATTATTTGCGAAGTTTCCATTCTAAGTATTGACAATTTTTGTTTATTTTACTGTTTAAGTAAATTAACACTTCAAGACATGAATTCTAAATCTCAGTTTTACAGTGCAACGGCTGCCCCCACCCTTCAAACCGAAACGCATTATTGCTTCACGGCAGAAACAGGCAGGGTGGTGGTACGTACCCGTGTGGACTCGCAGCACGCCCTACCACCATTCAATTTATTTAAAAAAATTACAAACAGCAGTAGAAAAACAGTGATATTTGTTCCAGTAATTGGTGTGATGAAAATTTGCTTCCCGTATGTAGCCAGCGTTACTTATGCTCTCTCTTAGCCCACCGAGTTTCTCGCCGGATCTTCTCAGTGAGTCGCGTTTCCGATCCGGTGGTAGATTCTGCGAAGCACTACTCTTGCTAGGGTCAGTGTTAGCATCACTCTAGTTTGAGCCCCATGAACTAACCTACTAGTTAAGGTTACGCTGAAATAGCCTCTCAAGGCTTAGGTAGGAAAAAAAAATTATGCTCTGACTGATGGACTTGCTCGAGATAAAGATAGTGGAGATAATTTTTTTCAGCATTAAATTGTTTACTGCATTTCAGACTGTGGACGTTCACGATGTCCTGCTGCATCAGTTCCGCTGTTGGCTGCGCGTTTCTCACAGCCTCAGTGTCAGGGATAGCCCTCGGATATAACTATTCATTAGCAGAATATATCGATTTAAAAGGTAAAAACGCCACAAAAGAATTAAGACGCACCCCTGAATACTTTTGTACCTACTATCGTTATGCTTCCGTTTTTGTATTTTATAATGAAGTTCGCATTTTTAAAGTATTTAAACGTATTATCTATACTATAATTCAATTGGTTTTGTCTAGCCTGATTGAGTTAAACAAAATATCTTATTGTTACATTTATATATTTTGCTAAAATTGTTCAATTCAAGTTTGTCTATTTCAAAACAGATAGTCAGCATTTATTTTATATGTTTATTATATAGATAACTCAATGGGCTCACGACCCTCCTACGGTGCTAAGTTGTTTCCGGAGTCTATTGACATCGCAACATTTATACCCCCCCGCCTATTTTGGGACACGGGGTCCAAATCACTCTTATATTGTATAGGGGCTGTCTCACCTTTCAAGCCGGAATGGATAATTAATTACTTCACGGCAGAAATAGGCAGGATGGTCGTACCCACCAATGCGGGCTTTCGACATGATACTCAAAGAACGCTGCCGCTGATCGATGTTGTATCGTAGTTAATGTCAGTTATTTGAGTGAGTAGTGTGATAGTTACGCTAGGTGCTATGATGACGCTTGAACACATTTAGAAGTGAAACTTCTAATGCGACTTGCAACAAGGTTGCGTTAAACGTTTAACGCTACCATACTAGAAAGAGACAGAGCGAGAGTGAATGCGTGGCACTCGAACGCATGCGCGTAGTAAACCTGCGCGAGCGTTAGCATCGAGTAGCGTTCAATATTTTAATGAAGTATTTAAAAAAAAAAATATATTTTTCTATCTATAATTTAAAATATATAATATAAAGGTTGAAGATGTCTGATTTAAGGATGAAAAATGAAGAAAATCACAATACTACACATCGAAAAAGAAGTTGCACTTCATTCACGTGCACCAAGTTGCACGCGCGCCGTTTTTTCGATCGCGATCAAGTTATCCTTTTAAAACGTATTTTGCTCTTTCCAGAAACCAACGTCTCCGTTTACATAAAGCGAGGTGTTTTCGACGATGAGATCGCGGATGACATGGAATGGCGTCGAAGCGGACATATGCCGATCGCCGGACACATCCGAGAGGATAACCGTACGTCAATCAGTATTAGCCACTTGAAAATTAGCCGTCTCGTGCTTAATTCAAAGTCGATTTTATTTTAAACGTCTCCGGATATTCATTCATATTTCTGCTCGTTACCTGACCTTCAACCATGGAATGGCGTCGAAGTGGACATATGCCGATCGCCGGATACATCCGATACGATAACCGTACGTCAATCAGTATTAGCCATTTAAAAATTAACCGTTTTATGCTTAGTTTAAGGTTGATTTTATTTTAAACTTCTCCGGATATTCATTTATATTTCTGCTCGTTATCTATTCTTCAAATAAATGAAGCCCTATCAGCTATCTTGTATAATCTATTTATAATATGCCCAGGGTACTATGGTGACAGTGACTAGTTATTTTTGCACCAGCCACTTCTACGTACTTGCTGTTTCTTTCCATGAATAGGATTTCTTACCACCCAAGAACCAATGGAAGATATATTTGGATTGGCGAGCCCTCAAAGAGTTATTTTAACGGTGACCTTTCGGTATAGCTTCATAAGAGCTACATTAGAAAACACTACTCCGCTTAATTTATTAGAACAATAAAAATTACATACATAGCGTGTACTCAAAGAATTTTCTAAATATAATACTTTGTAACCGAGCGTAAAGACAAACATGTAAACATTTTCAATGAGGTATACTTTGTATTTGTTTGCATGCGAAATTGGTTCCATCCAGTACACAAGCTTTAAAAGCTTTTTAAATTTACTTTAGTGCTCATAAAGTTAAAAGAGAAAGTAACAAAGCGCAATGTATAGTTCAAAATTAATATAAAACTGTAACACCTTCTAATTGATACATTGAAATTTTTAATAACACAAAAAAAAAACATTGGTTCTAATTATGAAATAGGAGTGCGCACTTTTTTTGTTATATACAAAATATATATCTAAGGCTCTGTACGATAAATAAAATGACGTGAAACAATGATTGGATTTTATTGCTTAGATGGGTGGATGAGCTCACAGCCCACTTGGTGTGAAGTGGTTACTGGAGCCCATAGACATATACAACGTAAATGAGCCACCCACCTTGAGATATAAGTTCTAAGGTCTCAGTATAGTTACAACGGCTGCCCCACCTTTCAAACCGAAACGCATTATTGCTTCACGGCAGAAATAGGCAAGGCGGTGGTACCCACCCGCGCGGACTTAAGAGGTCCTACCACCAGCAAAAATATTCTTGCATAACATCGAATTCTGTACAATGCAAATCTCTGTATGACGATCAAACAAACCCCCTTCCTTATACATATAACGTTCAATCCTCATCGATCAAGCAGGTACATTGTTATGGGACTTGTATACTATCAATTTTGTCGACGTTTGTATAATAAACAATTTGTTTCCACATGATATGAAATAGAATGTTACGTTTTCTCAAATTTACTTATAACACAGGGATATGAACAATGAAATTTAAAAGATTTTTCATTGTACGGGTACGCGACCCTGGCTTTCTGACATGTCATTACGGATCCTCCCGATCCATTAACGGTGCTTTTAGATACCTCAAGCACTGGCCACCGTCCTCGCCGAACCCGTCTCTTACGACCAAGGGCTCGATGAGTAAATTAACCCATAGACACAGCCCACTGAGTTTCTCGCCGGATCTTCTCAGTGGGTCGCGTTTCCGATCCGGTGGTAGATTCTGCGAAGCACTGCTCTTGCTACGGCCAGTGTTAGTATCAGAGAGAAGCTGAAATAACCTCTCAAGGCTATCAGCATAGGTAGGGAAAAAAAAACCTGTCTTCTTTTACCTGCTACTACTTTTCCCATATCCGTCCGTACTCCCTGGTATCCAGGCTTAATATTTAAATCATTATCCTTAATACTAATAGGGTAAGACGTGTTTTAAGGCCATACATACAGATATCGCCATCATACTTCCTTCTCGTCATGATATTCGCTTTATCGTTGCCGCCGTTAACTACTTCCCGAATCCTGATCGAATGAATCTTATCTTGAGGCGCTCGGGTAGCTGTTAACAAAACCCACCACTACTGGCTGAGCCCTTGCTCGCCCACCTGTCCTAGAGAAACTGGAAATCCTCCGGGCCACCAGTAATTCCTCAAACATAAAAAAAACTTCCTCCTACGACAAACCTCAACCTAATTATTCGCTCCGGAACGAAGAACGGAATATCCTTTATTGTAATGCATCTGAGACTTCGAGTTGTAATTAGTCGCTCAGTATCGAACCGTTACAACTTCTATCCATCTTAGACTAATAAATAAATAAACGATTCTTGTCTTCAGAACTGATTCGTCAAAGGAATTAACAATCAATTTAAAATTTAAANTCCTACGACAAACCTCAACCTAATTATTCGCTCCGGAACGAAGAACGGAATATCCTTTATTGTAATGCATCTGAGACTTCGAGTTGTAATTAGTCGCTCAGTATCGAACCGTTACAACTTCTATCCATCTTAGACTAATAAATAAATAAACGATTCTTGTCTTCAGAACTGATTCGTCAAAGGAATTAACAATCAATTTAAAATTTAAATTCTTCTTGGAATTTTCAAAACATCACCAGTTAAACAAGGAAAGCATTTGTAACTTATTGAGCAAAATGAAATGCTAAAAACTAATATACCTACTGCTATATTTTAATAACACGTGGTCTAGAATATAAAATCCGTAGGGTACCAAGTTTGATGAGTTGTATTCCAACTTTGCACATATCAGAATAACTAGTAATCTAGATTTTGAATCGTCATGACTTCTCTTTAATATTTTAATAATGTTATACCTTTAAACGTGCAATTCTTGTATATATATAATCTGAATCTCGGAAACGGCTCCAACGATTTTCATAAAATTTAGTATACAGGGGATTTCGGGGGCGATAAATCGATCTAGCTACGATTTATTTTCAGAAAATGTTGTTTTATTCGTCTTTTAATAATTAACTCTTCCCGACATCTATTGGCGAATAATAATACTATTTTCTTAATTGAGGGCAACTAACCGCTTTAAAGAGACAACAAGATGGCGTTATCGAAAAAAAAACCGAGTAAAGCTCGGTCATCATCTAGTAATACTTATAGTTCGAAAATTAACCATCACACTTAAGTTTTTTAAAAATAAAATATTACTTTGGTTCTTTAACACAATGTCAATATTTAAAATAATTCTGAGTGTGCTTGCAATAAATAAATAGCATATGGCATATTACTATAAGGTAATACGCATTTGTTAAAAATCTTTCATTTGTTGCGTATAATTATAGAATACTTAAAGTAGACAGTAGACATGGTTATAATATACCTACATTTTTCGTTTCGCAAAAAATACTCATCTTAGAAATCTGTTAAATAGATAAAGACTATACATACGCGTAGGCTGAAAGGTCTTTTTCTAAGCACGTATAATTTGATTCTCATAAGACGATGTTCGCAGTCATGACTGGATCACCAGAAGAAGAAAATCCTCAAGCATCGAAGTCTGGACGGAGATTGGACGATTCCATTTTTGAATCCGATGATCAGAATAAGTTCGAAGGCTCACTGATGAGGTTAACCGCCAAGGCCCCGGCCTTTAGCACGACAACCAAACCGGCCACGAGCGACTTGGAAATGGCAGAGGTAACAGTTTAAATAATACAATAACTGTTGTTTTTTTTTTCGGCCTAAGGTACCACCAACCCTTTTCTAACCGATAGTGTCGTAAGAGGCTACTAAGAGATTTTCCGGAAGATTGGCAGCATTGTTTTTTTAGTATCACGATAGTCAACAGTAGTAAAGTAGAGAAGTAATCGTGCGCTCCATTTTGAAAGGGTCCAGGATCATCCGTTGTGCAATGGAATTGTGACTTCGACCTCATGTCTCAAAGTGGATGTTGGTATTGACGTTCTTATGTTTATGGACTCCGCTAATCTCTGGTAACTACTTAAAACCAGATTTTTTATCAACTTATGCAATTATAATTAGACAATGATAATTTAATATTAAAACAATAATAAAACAAGACTACGCTATATTAAACATTAATAAAAGCAAAACCTTAACTGTCCCCTTCACACTCATAAGCGAGACCGCGCGAGAGAGAGATGGGCAGACTTTTCATGATGCGCATGCAGTGTGACGTCACGCCACGCGCTTATTCACAAACACTACACAAGCGCAACGTGTGAATGTGTTGAACGCGAGCTACATGGTAGGCGGAGTGAGGGGTGTTACCTTTTTTTCGTTACGGAATTTCATGATTCGGTCGCCGCGCTCAAGGCCCGCGATAAAAGCTATGCAATAGCTTAAAACTATTGAAATGAAAAATTTAAGGCAGAATGTAGCTCTTACGAGAACTATTAGGTACAGTTCTGATAAAATTTCTATTAGTTTCTATGAATAATAAGACAATATACTGAAAGAAGTGTTCGAAAATGATATGTGCGAATAAATCCGTTTATTTGAAACATTGTATCATTTAAATACACGAATACGAAATGCAGTCTCGAAGTGGGAAACTTTCATTTTCCATTTAAATTGAATTTTGAAACGCAAAATCTTATATGCAATATTCGTTTTTACATTAGATTCGCTTATGCTGAATCCACAAATTCTTCGATATGATCTAATAAAACTCATTATTTATGCAACCCGTTCAGATAATGTCGAAATATCAACTGGGCTCGGTCGATCAACTCAAGGCTATTCAAGGCCTCATTAACATGAGAAAGTCGGGGGATGCACGTGATACAACTGCTAAAGGAGCGGTGAAGGTAATAATAATTTTGTTAATAAACTTTATTATAAATTGACATTAGTATTTGATCTTCTGACAGTACGAAAATGTTTACGTCGAAATTTAAACCTTAAATCGAAATTTCGAGAAGAATTCATACGCGCAAAACGTCAATCGATTAATAACGTGGTCAAATTGATTAGAATCAATCATAGATAATAAATACTATCAATATTTAAGAGAACCAATTCAGATTACAAAAATTTGGAGTTTTTATGTAAAGATTTAATATCATTGATAGCTAAATGAAAAATATAGCCCGATATTTCTCTAAAATGGAGTGGATCGGAGTGGAAGCGTTTTGTTTTGGCCAGAGAACAAATTACCTTTGCAACCAGTGATAATATTACTTACAATATTTGTCTCTTTTATAATTGATTCTAATGTTCTTTCCATAGCCTAGTTATGTAGCTTATTTACTAACAATATACATGAATATTTATTATTAGCGCACGCATTCGAACCACGACTTTTTTTTATTGCTTAAATGGGTGGACGAGCTCACAGCCCGCCTAGTGTTAAGTGGTTACTGGAACCCATTGACATCTACGAAGTAAATACGCCATCCACCTTGAGATATAAGTTCTAAGGTCTCAAGCATAGTTACAGCGGCTGCCCCACCCTTCAAACGGAAACGCATTACTGCTTCACGGCAGAAATACGTAGGGTGGTGGTAACTACCCTCGCGGACTCACAAGAGGTCCTACCACCAGTAAAACGTCTGGCCGTGTCTTTTGCACGAAACTTATCTAAATGTACTAATCCTTGTTTTAGACAACATTTGGATACGACGAAAGATACCTACCACACTTTCCAGCATTTCCTGACCCAATGATGTCAGGTAGACGAATAATGCCCTCGAACATCAACATAAATGTGGACAAAGCCGATAGTTCTTTACGAAAAGCAGTACCAGAAGCGAGTATTAATGAACCCGATAAGTGGGGTAGACGTAAGGCATTCCCTGGCGCCATCAACGATGTGGCCTATGATTATTTAGATAAGAGCCCTAAATATCCACCTCCAGTGACCCCTAAACCTGGCCCAGTGAGACCGACAAAATTAAGAGCTTCATCTGCTATATTTCGGCCAACCCACACGCAAAAAGTAATAGAGTCATCACCAAAAATGGATTATGCGATTTCTAAAGAAGTTGACCGTGATCTTGAAGAATTCAAAGAAAAGCTAATGTTGGACAAATTTGAAAATCCCAAGTTAGTACATTGATACTATTAAGCCTATAGTTTATCTGTGCGTTTATTTCATCCAACCTTATCTTTTCGCATTTAATTTCATAGCAAATTCCACCCTCCTGACTGAGCCCGTGCTCAATCAGCTGTAATGGGGAAGCTGAAAAGGTCTTCGGGTCGACAGTCGACATCATCGACACCACCTACCAAAAAAAAACAGCCCAATTGATTACATTAATTTTCGGTAGGCAACAGCTGGGCTCTGCCCCTGGAATTGCTGAAGTCTATGGGCGACGGTAATCACTCACCAATAAGGCGCCGTGGGCCGTGTGCTCGTCTGCTTACAAGGGCAATAAAAAAAGAATACAGTCTCAAATAAATCAACTTCATCTCATTTCGTTCCATATAATTTTTCATGTAACATAAAACGTATTTAAAAATTGAGTATTGTTATAAAATCTGCACTATTAATTGCCGAACTTAAATGAACAAGAAGACCTGTGCAGTCCATAGCATTAGTAAAAAGGTTCTTGTTATCTTTGTATACTATATTCCTAAAATATTTATTATTAATTCACAAAATCATTACATAAAGTCACAAAATACCACAAAAAAAGAATAAAATTAAAATATGGAATTTTGGTATATATATTTATGTAAGTTCAATCAATGTCGCATTACAGTTTAAAAAGCGATGTTTTGAAAATGCCTAAAGAAGAATTTATCAAAGCTGAAGATGACTATGAAGCTGATATAAAAGGTCTTCCAGTCAGAAAAAAGAGGAATGTTAGCGATATTAAGAAATACATCAAACCAGCATCGAGTGAATCGAATGTTGTGAAGAAAGATAAAAATATCGCATTTTCAATCATCAATAATAATATATTTAATTTAGCATCGAGAATTGCTGAGAAAAGTGCAACAGCACAAATGAAAACACAGAATGCTCGTACCAAAAGTAAACTTCTATTAAAACTACAATCATAGCATTGAAAAAAAGAACAGTTTTAAAAAGACTGACACAATTATTACATGAATAACAAAGTAAGAATAAATGGAGATCCGTTTATAATATTTAACAAAATGGTGTAATTATTGTTTGCTAAAACCAACAATTACGTGATGTTTCAATGTTTATTAAGTTACGTGAAATGTATTATGTTATTAAATTTTTAAAAGTCTAATGTGTTTGTCTTTTTAGATAGAAAAATGTCAATATGAAGCTTATTGTTTTTTCAAGGTTTTTAAGTAGGAAAACTCCAAGATTTTCTTGGAGTTTCTCTGAAGGATTGAATCCGGAACGAGGTGATCTTACAGAGAATCAAAGTTATCGACATAGCACAGCGGATTAGTAAGCTGAGCTATTAGCCGGAGAGTCGATAACCGTTGAGGTACACGTGTTCTTGAGTAGAGACTTCGAATTGGCAAACGTAGATTCGGTGGAGTGACGATCTATGCAGGGACGCCTTCAGCTCTAACACTAGGAGCGGCCTTAGGGACCCCGGTAACCGTTACTCGTCGAACTCGACAAAGAGTTCGACGTGCAACCTAACCCATACATCACCTCGCTGAGTTTCTCGCCGGATCTTCTCAGCGGATCGCGATTCCGATCCGATAGTAGATTCATTCGCGAAGCAGCTGCTTTTAAGTTGCTAGGTCTCCTTCGGAGGCGCTCGGGCAGTTGTTAGCAAATCTCCCCCCTCCTGGCTGAGCCTTTGCTCGCCCACCTTCCTAACTACCAGTAATCCTTCAATCCTAAAAAAAAAAAGATATTGGGTGGCTGGCAAGAACTGTTTTTTTATTTTTTATTGCTTAGATGGGTGGACGAGCTCACAGCCCATCCACAACGTAAATGCACCACCCACCTTGAGAATGATAGAAGCCGAGGATCATGCTTAGTGGTATGTAATTGGAGAGGCCTATATCCAGCAGTTGACAGCTGAGTTCATTTATGGGCATAAACTCCAATCTCTTCATCTTATCATGAAAAATAAGCAAGTTCATAATTAACTCGCAATCGGAATGAAATACAATTATAAATAGACATAACTAACCACTTTATTAAGTAGACTTAAAATCTTCTATTTAATGTGAAACATTTTCGCATTATGTCCATTATAGTTGAATCTTATGTTTCAATAAAATTGAATTTTCCACTAACACCGATAGTGTAGCATTGAAACTGTCTATATCCATTTAAATTTGCTTTGAAATACCGTTGGCTCATTCAATTGAGAAAAGTGTTCGTTAGCTAAAACAAACCTAGAATTAAGGCAGAGATTCAATGTTTTAATTTATTTCAATGATGATTTTCTAGAGTCCCATTGCATCCGTGGAGATGCTATCTCTGATTTCCTGATGAGTGTTTTATTGTTCTAAAGAAATCTGCTCAGTTCTTTTAACTCTGTTGCTGCTGATCGACCTGTATCAGCCATTCGCTTCTCAGCCAAGAATAGAAAATCCACGAAGCAATCAGGTTGCAACAGCAGGTGAATGTGACTGACTTAATGCATGCGGTTTCATTGCGTTTACCCTGGTACATACCGGTCCGGGTTTAATGTTCCAGTTTTTTAAATGTTAAGGAAACTATGGAAACAGACTTTACATGTTTTCATTAAGAGAAAGAGAGAGAAAAAGATGGAAGAATGAAGAAGGCTCTAGTAAAGGATCTATAAAGAATTTGAACATAATAGCAAACAAACAACTAGGACTGTTAGGTAAAATAAAAGTTTTCGCCGGCTTATATACCTAACTTAAGGCTTAACAAATGTTAAAATGAATCGCAGTCCACGCAGGTTCAGCTGTGTCGGGTAATAGATGTATTGATATAGAATATAGACAGTAATCATTGAAATGATGAATAAAGACTTTAATTAGAAACTCTTCCAGCGATCATAGAGGGTAGTTTATCGATGGCACTTCCCTAGATCCAATAACACTGTAATTATCCGATCCGCATAGTGATGGAAAGGGCCGAGAGTGATCTTTTACTAGAATACTCATGCATACAACTTAATCAGAGGGTAGTTGAGAAAATCAGTTTCAAATAACATCATTGTGAAATCTACTATAGCCTTTCCTTTTGCTGTTCGAGATATTCGTTAGAAGTTCATTTTAGTAAAATTTTACTACTAATTATTATTAATTTGCTCATTCTAGCGTTGACTATCACTTCTCCCGCGATACGAAAATACATTTTACATTTCAGAAGCGTTTTCTCGGGTAAACAAAATTAATTGAAAATCGTAGAAAGTCCATCTAATTATGTTGAAATTGAATTCACAATAACCCTAAATAAACCGAAATTCCTAAACATAGACTAAGAATTCAGGTACAGTATAAAACGAACCCGTTCATTTCCATGCTAATGTTATGGTTTTCCAATATTCAAGACAAAAAGCTAGATAGATAGTAGTACTATAGGAAGAAATCGATTTATTTAATTAATTCAAGGAATGTATATTGTTTTAGATACCGTTACTCTTAATTATGATTTCCTTTTTTCGCTTTATTTTAAAATTTTAACGTCTGTATTCGTATAGCTGACCCGGCAGACTTCGTAGTGCCTCAATCGATAAATAAAAGATCTAAACTTTTGTATAAAATTAACTTAAAACAAACAAAAAGAATCCTTCCGATGAAGGACACATCAGAGGGAAAACAAAATTGTTATTTTTAATTAATTCCGAGCATATTCATGTTTATCTACTTTTTAAACCTTCACTGGACTTCCACGAATAATTCAAGACCAAAATTAGCCAAATCGGTCCAGCCGTTCTCGAGTTTTAGCGAGACTATCGAACAGCAATTCATTTTTATATATATAGATTTGATTGTAAATCGAAACGTTTTGTGCGGAAAACACATCACAATTCTAATACAGGCCATTTCACAAACAGCCCATTATTTCATTTAAAAATTGAACCACGTATTTTTTGAGTGAATTGTGATGTTTCTATTCCACTGTAGAGTAGACACGTTCCGATTAAAGTGTGGAATAAAACATCCGGAAAATGGCCAGCCAGAGCGGCTCCGATGACGGGTCATTGCTCTTTTCATGAAACTTTCGAGGGCTTTTCCACAAAATACGATTGTATCTGATCGAAGACGCGTTGGATATCGGCTTTGAGCTTAGGAATTTATTTGTTCGCACAAATTTGAAATTGAGATTGAGATTGAAAAATTTGACTTTGCACAAAACTCCGATGAAAGAAATTTCACCGCGTTAAAATCTTAGCGATCTTAGTGGCTAGTTGACATCGGAGTTACGTGATATGATTTTTTCTGAAAATCGTTACTGCAATAAATCGATTAAAACATTCTCTGTTAAGCAGGTGGCGTCTTTCTGTTAAAGCCAAAAATGGATAACGTTATACAGTTGAGGCCACAAGAACTTCATTAATATGTCCCTGTAATAAATTACGCAAAGTTTGAGATCAGTCTCAGCACAACTTTCATTCATTTCATATTTGCAATTTCATATTGGTACTGTATTATTCTTTTGTGTAGCGCTCCCTTTTTAATAATTAATTTGAAAAATCACAGGTGACAGCTGTCAACTTAAAAAAAAACCGCAAAAATTTTTAAAACTGACATCAGCTAGTTTTTATTTTTTATTTTTATTGCTTAGATGTGTGGGTTCGTTGGAGCCTTAACAGTTCTGTTGCATACTACTACACGTAGATCGAGTGAGTTCATCACGCGATTTGGCTGTGGGTGCAAACGCTCGAGATTGAACAAATAAACGTTGCACATTTCTGTTTTAACAGATACGCCGTTGGATAATGTTATGCAAGAGTGTTTAATGCAGTGTAAACAAAATTAGTATAGTGTACGAGTGTTGTTTGAATTTTATAAATTGAATTTTAGAAGTAGTAGAGCTAATTTTAAAATGTTTGATTCGATGTTGAATAGTTCATTCAGTCCTCTATTCTGATAACTATAAACGCACACTTCGTACTGATGATCTGTTTAAAATATAATGTAAGCATGTCTAACAAGTCGTCGTGGCCTAAAGAATAAGACCTCCGGTGCATTCGTATGTAGCGATGCACCGATGTTCGAATCCCGCAGGCGGGTACCAATTTTTCTAATGAAATACGTACTTAACAAATGTTCACGATTGACTTCCACGGTGAAGGAATAACATCGTGTAATAAAAATCAAACCCGCAAAATTATAATTTGCGTAATTACTAGTTGAGGACCTCTTGTGAGCCCGCGCGGGTAGATACCGCCACCCTGCCTATTTCTGCCGTGAAGCTGTAATGCATTTCGGTTTGAAGGATGGGGCAGCCGTTGTAACTATAGAGACCTTAGAACTTATATCTCAAGGTGGGTGGCGCATTTACGTTGTAGATGTCTATGGGCTCCAGTAACCACTTAACAACAGGTGGGCTGTTAGCTCGTACATCGATCTAAGCAACTATAATTTAAAAAAATAAAATTACTTATATTGGTGAACTTTCATGGTGTTATTTCCATACAAATAATAGTTTGTCGTCTGAATAATTCATATGTTATACACGTGGTAAAAGTCGTAAAATACGTCCACTCATTAAACTATCAACTTAGAATCACAGCTGTTCTCGAATCATTTAAGACTGCAATCAAATGTATTTCTTAACCAACCAAACACCAGCATTAAAACATTATTTTTGATTACTGATTCCTTACCTAGTGCTTTAATATGAGATTATCTGTGACATGTGAAGTGGAGCACACAGCCAGTCTGCACGATAGTTTATGACCGAGTTACGGTCGAGACATAAGCATTTCCAAACTCAGCAAGCTGCCTTTATTGTTTAGCGTGCTTGTTATTTCACTTATCTTTACGACAATCACCCTGTTGATGGGGTAATCCTAGTTGTTTGATACGCTGAATCATACTTGGGATGCTCTGATTAAATTTAAGTAATTTCTATATTGCATGAAAATAGATGAAGTGTGAAATGCGAATGAAGAAGTCCGTGTATTTTTTTCTCTATG